TTAAAATAGAGGAGCATTTTATCCACAAAGTACAATGAAATAAAGCAATTGTAGAGGGTATGAAATGTGAAAACCAAGATTAAAGGTGAATCGTAAAATCTATACCTAAGTATACAAAAACCAAGATTAATTTACCTTGTGATCATTTTCTCCACAAGGTATAGGTTCCGGGGATATGAGCTATGCTTATAGCCATATTTCAATTATAATACTAACAAACAAAAAAAAAAAAAAAAAAATTCAGGGGAAAAAATAGGCAGACAACAGAATATGAGTCATGAAGTAAAAGCTATTCAAGATCACTAACATTCAGCAAAAAACTTTTTCTACACAATGCTTCTACTGTTGAAAGAGACATAATATTAGATTAAAGAAAGGGCCTTACAGAATAATATCAAAAATTACCCGGGAAATAAACGAGCACTAGTGCGATATGCTGACATTGCTTGGTCACCCTCTTCTTGAGCTGCATAAGCATTCCCATAACCTATCCATGCCGGCGCAAATGTTCCATCTAGACTCGTAGCCTTGCTGTCAAGTAAAATAATGGATGAGAAATCAGCAAAAATAAACACCCTAGGAATTTAATAAAAACAATTAAAGAGAGGATAGTAGAAAACATAATTATGAGTTCAAAACTATGAATCTGACATTACTTAGTGCATGAAAAACACCACCCGTAGCCCAGTAAACAGCAGTTACCACATGGGAACTCAATCTCAAAACTTCACTAAATTCCAATCACGATGCTCTGCCACAAACCATTCCTACACCACCACACCAGCATCTACTCCCAAGGTCACCTTCCTGAACCAAGCCTAACAAGGATCCATTGAAACTTTTCCAAGAGCTGATATACAGAGAGCAAGACTGCAAGAGCACACCAAGGAGGGGGCCTCCTCTATATTCCTCTTACTACCCAAAGAGCTACACATTTCCCATGATTTCCTTCCGAAGCCTGTATTTATCATTATATTCCTGGGTAACTTAAGGCAATAAACAAGCAAATCCAAAGATACCATTCATAAAAGTAGTCATTACAAGCTAGTCGGACCACAACATCCCAAATTACTGGTTCAACAATTTCTATCTTCATAATAAATTAATGTCAACAGTCCATCTTCTCACCTTGGATCCCCTATGCTAGCCCTTAAGAAACCCCCCTAAAAAATTTGAACATGGAAGTCCTTAAAACCAATCATTTTGTTTAGTAGAAAAGCCAAACACTACCCTCATATCCCTAGTAAAAAAGTGATTTAATTAAAACTTCACAATTAACTGTCAATTCACCTTGATGTTTACATATCACCATCAAATCGGGTGATCATATTCTGTTGTGTCTATCCACCTCAAACTATATGCCCGTCACATGCTCAATTTTGTCTCTCTCATGCATCCCTTCAATGTCACCACTTGCTTGAACCTCTTAAACTTTCCAAAAAACAAATGTTCCGTTAAATGCTTTGCATTTGAATAATGAATCACTTGTAGCACCTTGGATTTCCCTAAGTGTTAACTTTGCTGGCAGATGACACTAATGCATTGACTAAGAAAATATATAAACTAAAATGTACAGTAGACAATGTAGCATTTTTTAAAATCAATAATTAGTATAAGTAACACCTAAGCATCTCATGGAAATTAAATTGTGTGGATGATGATACAGCTGAATGTATTGACACCTAAAATAACACCTGAATATCAAGGGAAAAAAATGGAACTCAAAGAAATAGACAAGTTACAATCTGTTAAAAACTTGGGTTAAGTTCAACTGAAAGTGCACGATTATTACCTGAAATAACGGCGTGATTGATCATACTTCTTGATACAATAATAATAGCAACCCACAGCAAACCATGACAGAGACCTAAGAATTGAGAACAAATAAATAATTATGCAAAAATTTTAAATTCAGCATAAAACAAAAAGGATAAAAGCATAAGTTTAGAAGAAAAGGTAAAACAATAAAAAAGCATTCTCACTTTTGAGGATAGTCCTTGACTAAGTTGCATGCCAAAAGATAGAGCTCATTTGAATTTCGAAGCTCCATAGCAGCTGCTAAATGCACCAAGGTACATTTCAGATGGAAGGGATCCTTTTCAAGCAATCTAGATTGCATGGGTTACAACAAACATAAAAGCTCCAGTCAAGCTAGGTATGTTAAGTAAAAGTTAATGGTATTATTTGATTTGAAAGCAGACCAACTTACAATGAAGTTAGTTCAAAGCATTTTTGATATTCGCCACACTGGTGGTTGTATTCAGCTTTGCAGGCCAAAAGATCAGTGTTGTTTTTCAATGTGCAAATGAAAGACTGTTCCGAAGGTTTAATATTACAAGCTTCTTGTTCGAGTTCTTTGAATTTGGCTTCTACAACATTTTCTTTATCATACTGTGTTAAATGAGAAGGAAAAATCATTGGCCGTTACGCAGAAGAACACAGCACAATAGTTATAATCAGTGAAACTAGTACAAATGAAGAAGTTAGTGCATAGTTTGGAATTCCAAATGCTTCATGGACCCAAAAGAAACCAAAGATACAACACAAACTATAAAATATTCCAGTTGCAAATGCTTACCTTCTTTATCAAACATGAATAGAAGGAAGAGAGCCATCCATCTTCAGGAGCGAATTGCAGTGATGAAAGTAGACTTGTCTCTGAAATTCAACGGCAAATCATATGAGCCATAATAAATCCTCTGAGCAAATTACATAGTTCTATGGAATAATACAAGGCAAAAGCAACTGCATTTTGTAGATGATTGTAGCAGATCCCACAAAAATTTAAGAACAGGTGACAGAAAAAAAATCATAAATCAGATATCAGATGCCATGATTTCATTCTCCTTTCACATTACACCTCAGTTATATAAATGACAAAGTAAATATAATAACTCACCTTCCTCACATGTAAGCATGTGATTCTCAATAAGACATTCCAATGCCTGAAAAGGGAGGAAAATAAATAAAAATTGATAACAATAATAAGAAAAGTTATAAAGATTGACCAACTATATTCTAACGAAGAAAACAGTTTACAACATGTTTCCAGCAAAATGATTAAAACAATCATGACTGCAGAAACCTAAATATAAAAATTGTTCATTTAGAAATCATAAATAGAATAAAATATTTATGCTATTTGTAAAGCACCTACACATACCTCATAACATAAAGGATCAGCTTTAATAGCAGCTTTGTACCTTGAGAAATCATAAATAGAATAAAATTAATTGAGCTCCTTCAACTGATATATAAATCATATTCAATATAATCAACATATTAAAACAAATACATTGTTCAACAACAAAAAGAAAAAGAACAAAAAATAACAGAAAGAAATGAAAGAACATCATAAAATATAAAATAAAAAAAAAATAAAAAACGAATCCCAGGCGTGGAATGAAACAGCAATAATAAGCACAAGACAGGCTTCCACCTTGTTCACCACAAAACTAATTATAGAAATCATTTCTGGCTCTGTAAGCCATTTGCAATTTTAACGTAAATTCTGGTAGGGTTCAGTAAATTATGTGGGTATCGGGCACAGACCAATTGCCAATTTGCCACATCAGCATCTACTTGTCATGAACTGTCCTTAGACATCGTTGCATGAGAGACTTCAAGAAGATTTCGCCACCTCTTTAAAAGCATCTGTGATATTCAATGGAGCCCCAACTTCTTTTCAGACACATCATTGCAAAAAACTGTTTTTCCAAATAAGCCAGTAGACAGCATATGTATGGCAAAAACCTCTTTTCCTCATATAAAACTTGCCAAAGAGCTTTTTCTCCTCAGATCCGCTCGAGAACTCGAAGACCATTGCAAGGACCTCTTCTCCTTAGACAAACCTTACTATGAAGACTAAAGAAACCCTAGGTGCACAAGTGCTCAAGTCAGGAAAAGGACTCTGAGAAGTTCTATAGCTCAGTATCCAATTTATCATCATGGCCCATAACAGCAGTTTAATTGATGGCTTTTTGAGATCCTGGGAGTTAAAATGCTTGGTAGCTAAAATTCAGCCTCCTTGATCACTAAGACCTCTAACAGATCTCCTAGTCTCGACTTCCGCCTATCCCAATCTACCTCGAATCTATATGATATTTTCTCTTTTCTAATCATTCACAGGAAGACACAAATTACAACTGAGAAAAAGAAATAAGAAGAAAAAGAGACATCAAAGAAATCGAGCAAATTAGGGGAGAAAGGTAGATAGAGTCTGATAAGAGAGGAAAACAAAAGAGAGAGGAAAGGAGTGGAGGAAGAAGAAATAGATAGAGCTCAAACCTGCTGCAGATTTCACTATATTCAATCGATCACTTGTATAGTTCTGTTTTCCGAAGAGACCAAATTATAGGCTTTAGAAGACCAAGGAGGCTGGAAGCACTTAATAACCTTCTAAGCTCAATCCTACACAACATAGTGACTATACAAGACCCAAATCTCATTCTTAAGACCCTAGAACTTTCTATAACTTAATAGCTAAGGCAAATTTTCATAAAATCTCCTTACATCACCCAGGAATAAAAAACAACACATAATGTGCCATAACATTTTCTGGTGGGTCCCACATCATGCCTTCAGAGAATTGTTGCTACAAGGGGCTCTACCTCAATCAGGCTACCTGCGTAGGGAACATCATATGGCATAAAACATACTTATCTCCAAATCCAAATGTACCTTCTGTAATTGCATTGAACATTCATTCATAAGAACAAGTCATGCTTTCTATATATCATTTCAAACATTTCATCTCAATCTTCCAACATCAAACTTCCACAATGTCTCCCCTCCGCAAGACAAAAAAAAAAAATAATAAAAAAATAAAATAAAATAAAGCACAACTAAGGTATTTGTTTTTTTATATATACTTTTATTCAAAAGTAAAAACCAAACCCAACCCCATCCCAGCTTTTTAGATGCCATGCCACACTTAAACAATTTAACCATTTTACAACAGGTATAGATTCATACACATAAAGATAAAATTCAAAATCATATGTGAATATTACTGCAGAATATTGTAAACATGAAGTTTTATGATACATAAATTATAAGAATGATTAAATCAGAATTACGCAAATCATATTTTTCAAAAACATATCAAGAGCATGAAGCATTGAATACCCCACAAGACAGCTAGAACTTACCACTGCTGAGCCTGGGCACGGTTTTCCAAAGCTCCGTACGCCTTGCCTCTTAGAAAGCATATGGCTGACAGAATCTGATCATGAATGAAAAATATAATCTCATTCTCAAAACTTAATAGCAATCATACAATCCTGGAATTGACATATGTCCTCTCCAATATAGCATATAATATCAACAACAGAATTTTAGCAATCGATGATGGATAAAAGGATCATCATAAACAGATAAACTCTTAAAGCTACCAAACAAAAAAAGTTGGCGAATAGATTCATAAATGTGTAAATTGACCAAGCAAAAGTGCAACACAACTTTTTTTTCTTTTTTCTTTTTTTCTTTTTTTTTTTTTTTTTTTGATAAGAAGAAAAAGATGATAGAAACAACATCAAAGTTCCATATACTATGTCCTTTTTTGGCATTGCAATTTCTTAAAAAAATCCCCTGACAATTTGCATTAAGTGACAAAGACAAGACATTAACAAATGGCATGATCCATTGAGCAGATCTAATAATGAGCCCCAAATTGACCCAATTTCACATCGGCCATAACTTGTGAAGGTCCTGTGACCTTTCATGCTAGACTCAACTGCAAGTATGCAACGGTTTCTTCCAAAACAAGACAAATAATAGATACAATAACCATTTATGTAAATGGGCCTTGATATTCCAAAGCCAAAGAGTTGAAAGTTGTGACTTGTGAGTTAGCTAGCAGGACATCCATCTCATCTCATATCAGAGCAATATCAATAGATCAGTTACATGTGTCAAAAGGAACATAACCTTACATTAATTTCACGATCTTCCGCATCTTTGTCCAAATACATGACATTGTAATCCCTCGTGTCATTGATGTTTCCATGTTCATCCACCTTAGCATCACCAAGCATTAATAGACATTGATCCCACTCCTTCAGTTCCTCCTGATCATATATATTTAATTAAAAATAGCAAACAAGTTTTAATAAACTATGTAGCGATAGCTAAAATACATATCCACGACAGAATAGAACAATGACTATTTCACTAAACCGCTAAGGTTTAGCATTTAGTTGTGTAAATACTAAGAATCTAGAATGCAAAAGTATATATTATGATATACAAACTTTCCCTAATAGATGTACCAAATAGAAGAGTTCTAGATGCCACACATTAACTTTTGATATTATGCTTTCAATGATGTATTATGCACGCCATTACTACTGAATGTAATTGTAAAGGCCCAAGCCTTTTTCCCAACTACTTCAAGTCAGCTAAATCATAATAGAACATGTAATGGGAAATTTAAAGTTACGAAGAAATAACAAGGACCGCCACATCAATAGCTCATGAGTTATTTTTTGCAGTCATTATGTTTGGCAACTACCGGCACTTGAGTTTGAGCCAAAAGTACACAGAATCAAACAAGTGGCAGGTATAGCTTGATCTCCCAAACATGTTGAAGCAACAAACTGTATCAACTAATTTAAGATTTTATTGATATCTAAAAAGAATCAGGTGGTTTATGTAACTACCTTAAATAGCCCTATGACTAGCATAAACTCGTACAAATCCCTAAAACTGGAATTTTATTCCAGCTCCTTGCCTATTAGGAGTGAAAAAGAGTAGGTTTTTAATTTACTGAGATTCAAAATTTAAGTTAATCCATGCTTATTGGGTTGTGGTAACATTCAAGCCCTTATTTCTTGTTTATATTTCAAAACGCACACACACACAATTAAACATTTAAATCACTCTTTTATTCCAATTAGAAAAAATATATTTTTAAATTATTTTTGAATAACCATTTTAAACACACAAAAAATGAATTGACATTTTTACTTTGTGTATATATACGCACTTACATATGGTCGCATATGAATTTATATATTTGGCACATGTAAACGGACTATGGATGCATTTATTTCTATATATATTCATACATTATATATATGTTTATTTAGACACGCAATATGAGTTTCAAATGTATATTTATATATCGACCTAATTCACATTTCCAAATTTTGCAAACTACTTCTTTTTTTCCAAAAATTAGAAGAAGAAGAAGAAGAAGCTATAAAATATCCTACAGGCAATCAAACGCCTGAAAAAGATCTAAAGGAGCCGTCCATACAAGTACTAATTAACAAATAAAGATAAAAATAATAATAATAACCAAAACAAATAATTAACGAAGAGATAATTGAAAAAAAAAAAAAAATGGCACAAACAAAAAACTCGAAATTCCAAAAGATCTAGTATATAAAAAAAGGGAGCCAAACATGAATTAGACGAACTGAACTTTTTATTAGTTAATTGACAGCACAATGGGGAAGAGACCTACCAAACATTTGGCGGCGAGGTAGCGGAAGCGGAGATCGCGGAGGACGATCTGAGAAGCATTGAGGAGGTGGAAGGCGCGGCGGTAGTGGCGGCCGAGGAAGAGGGCTTGGGCCTGCATGTAGATGTCGGCGGGGTCCGACGTGAAGGCAGCGACTTTATCGGCGAAAAAGATCGCCGATGAGTAGAGATGCTTGCTCACGCAGTCCCTAACCACACCTCTCAGCTTCTCTATTTCTTCTTCCCTCATTTTTTTTGTGATTTGAATTTGAATTTGCGCACAGAGAGTGTGTGTATTGTGAGGGGTTTTTGGAGAGAGAGAGAGAGAGGGAGCGGAGGACTGGTTAAGGGTTTAATTATTGACGAGAGGGAGGGTCAAAAGAGCGGGAGGTTCATTTCTTTGCGAAGGACTTGTTAGTGGTATGGGCCTGGGCCTAGATTTTATATTGCGAGTGAATCAGAATTCAAATCCAAAAAAATGGGAGCAACCATATGGATACTCTCCAATGAGAGCATTTGTAAGACATTTATGGAAGAGATTCATAGTTTTTTCCGAGCACATGACATCACCAATGCATCTAATTAGTATGTAGGTTTTCTTGACATACAAAATTCATGTTCTTAGCTATTAAATTAAGAATTTTACTTTGGGATCTTTTGATTTAACAGCTCAAGGAGTAAGCTCATTCTTATGAAATTAATCATGGATTTACTACTTGGAAAATGATGGCCCTCTGCAGCTTCAATGCCTAAAAAGGGCAAAAAAAAAAAAAATAAAGAAAGATAAATAAATAAATAAACATTTCCAATGCTTTCTGATGATGCATCTGATCATCAAACGGTACCAAAACGTGATAGCACATTGAGATTCGTATCAATCTATCCAAACAATATTAAAACGGTACTATCTGTTGCACTGGATGCACCACGAAATCCCTTGAACAGGTGAAGAAAAATCTTCCCATTGGACCAACTACTTTTATGGAAGATTGTCCCATAACATTTATTGTTGTTGTAATTGTTAGCTGAGGCAATCTCAACTCACCAAATGCACCTGGGAATCCAAAGTAGGTTTGTGGATTGAGGTTTCACGAAACGAAATGCATTTATTCAGCCTACTTGATTGATGTTAGCTCATGGTAAAAGGTAATGATACAAAATCAAAAGTAAGGTCCCATCTCATGGAGAAGGTACTACCATTCGAGAAATACGTGGTGGAGTAGAAATGCGTATTGTTTTACATGTATGGCTCAAATAAATAGGTGTATCATACATCTGACGCATCTAATATCTATTATACATGTATGGCTTAAATAAATAGGTGTACTACGTACCCGACGCACCTAATATCTATTCCATCTCGTGACATTAATATACGAATTATGATATTGTCTTTGTCTTTTTTTAATATTACTTTCAATATAAACCGTGTCACCATTTTAATTAACACATGTAAAATGTCAAAGGACAGAGGCCTCTGTTCCGGCTGTGGTAGTATTTAAGTCCTGTGTCAGCTTATAATGGTTCAAAAACACGCAAGACACCAATCAAGTACTTGCACATATTTTAATTATGTTGCCTTAGATAACCAAACTTTTTATTGACTTTGTGCCCCATATACAGTGACCAAATGAGAATCCCTTGTCATAGTACCCATGTCCTTTCCATAATGGCATGTCCAACCTCTATTTATTATTCAAGAAGCCTCTGAGCCCCCTCCCCCTCTCTTTCTTTCTCACACACAAACACACACACACACACACACACAATGCCCACCTCTCAAGATTCATCCCCTTCATCATCGTCTGAATCTTCCTCTCTAGACAGTCCAAATGTTCAGTTGGTTTCAAAATCATTATCTGACAGACTTCTTGGTAAATACTTCGACGCCTCAGAATTCGACTTTGATTACCAGCAGAGTGGCTTGTGGTCTCCTCCAATCCCAATCCCCGGAAAAGTGTTCTTGGCCTCACCGGCCGGTAACATATGCTCGGGAGATGAAATGGTCACAAAACTCAAGAATCTAAGGAAGGCCCATTGGTTTAGAAGGCGCATTGTTCGCTTCACTGTATAAGCTTCAACTTCTACACACTTCAATTCACTCTACACACACACACACACACACACATATATATATATATTGTATTACATGTTTTGAATTCAACTACTTGTTTCTTTTGCAGGCCTTTTGGTGTTCTTGAAGGGAATGTGATTCTTTGCTTCAACGTTAATCATTCAAGGGCGTGACATGTCTGAAAATTACAATCCCGGCCGGCATTGAAGTACTACTGATCAGTCAAAAAGGTCGAGGTCAGAAGGAACACACTGGGATGTGTAATTCGTGCATGTATGTATTGTTCCAATAGATATATAATTAATTATTCTTATTTTAATATTTCGGTTCCATTGCTGTAATTTGATTGCAAGCTAACTAACTGTGGTGTTTTAATAGCTTTTGTGTATTTTCATGTTTTTTTGAGTAGTAAAGTCCTTGATTATTTGAAATTTTGAATAGCACAGTGACCCGTCAGCATAC